AGTATCTCCGTTCGTCTATTCTCTGTCTCTTTCCGACTACCCTCTCACTATCCGACTACCCTCACTGACTGTCTAACTCTGGGTATTTAACGGCAGACGTCCAAGTAACACTGGTAGAGTCCACATATGAAAAAGGGGTGGACCCCATAAGAGTATCTATGCATCCAAATGTCGTAGCCGCCTGCTTAACAGTTAGAGAAAGAAAGGGTATATGTTTGAAAATGTATCAAATCAGAACATGACCGAACTATCCATCAGCATGGGTGTTGTTAAACCCTTGGAGAATGATTCATTGTGCCTTCTTGGACTAACATTTTCCGCTGTCATAAAGTGGTAAGATCAATTATTAGGTCTTATAATAGAGAAGTTTTTTCCCTGTATCGTGCTAGACAATTTTTCTCATCAGACTATGTCCTACATCTACCATTCCTCTATGCTTTGACTATTGTTCCAACATCTGGCTTCTGCTATCTAATTAGAGATTCTTGATAAAATGCAACGACGAATCTGCAATGTTATTAGTCCTGACCTGGCATCCCTGTTTCAGTCACTTTCCCACCGTTGTAACATAGCTTCTATGTTACTATAAATGTTTTCATGAAATTTTTTCAAATGAACTTTCCTCTATGGTACCTAGACTTTATGAATTTAAGCGAATTACTGGATTGGCGGCAAAGTTACATTATTTTTTAGTGAAATGTCCAGATGCAAACGTAAGTTCTATTCTGACAGATAATTCTCTCGCATTTCTCGCATGTAGAATTCTCTTCCAGCTTCCTGCATTCCAGTCAACTCTGATCTCCAAAAAAAGTAAATGTAATGTCAGTCGTTATTTCCCTCTCTTCTTAATTCTTGTACTTTTACTCTTCTCTCTCCTTAATAGTATTTTCCTCATATGCTCTCACACTAAGTCCCCTTGCATCATAGTGGCTTTAGTGCATCTTTGTGGGGAAATAATTTTAAAAAACAAAATGGCTTTTGGGATGCTCACATTCAGCTCTACTGCAAACCTAACAGAAATAGTTTGAAAGAAAATAGTCAATATCAGTTGCATCTTTAAACAAGACAATGCGCTCGGCTACATTGCACGTGGGAATTGTTTCAGGAATATGAGGAATATTTCATTATAGGGTCCTATCAAATTCTCTAGATCTCAAACCTATTGAGTATTTATGGGATTTGCTTGAGTAAAAATAGCCATTACGTAATTATCAGTAGTTACAGGACTGGTTGTTAAGATGTTAAAACCAGATTCAAGACAAACCAGTGGTTCCCAAACGGAGAGGCAGCCTTATGTGTGCAGCGGAAGAGGATAGCAGGTGAGGCGTTATGATTGAAAGACAAAGATTTAGAAACATTTTCAAAAAAAATATGCCAAAAATAAATATGATTTCAAAATTTCAAATATCATTATGGATTACTTGTAATTGCATGCGTGAGTCCCAGTATAAATAGTTAGAAATAATTATTGACCGATTTTATCATTTTGATATGTTTGCATTATATCAAGTATTAAGTATATAGTAACTAAGGTCAGCAATTTGGAGGAGAGAGTTATCAATGATAATGTTGTGTAACGCTTAATCTCTGTTTTTTTTTTTTTGTTTTTTTTTAAATATGCTTCTTATCACATAAAATTTGCTAAGGCGTGAGCAAATTTTCTTTTAGAAAATGCGGGTCAGAGAAAAAAGTCTGAGAACCACTAAGATAAACATTTTAAAGATCCTCGTAAACCCATGACGGATCATGTGACATTGGAGGTGGTAATGCTTTGGTTATGAGAGTACAATGTAATTTCAATTTCTTTTCTTTCTTTCTTTCTTTCTTTCTTTTATCTTACTCTGTTATTATGAATTAATGAGTGCAGTCAAACGCGACAAGCAGCAGCAGCAGCAGACATGTTAGGTTTAATACTTCAAGTTTTCCACTTAGGATTGTCCCTGGGGACAATAATCTAAAAGTTCAAAACGTTTTTCGTGAATATGGTGACATAGCAAAAATAAAAAATATACATTTCAAATTATTCAAAGAAGACATTCAATTTTAAAATGGTAAATCTCATTTGTTTTTTTATGAAGAATTTTCAGCAAAGTTTAGCTATCACACCTGCTATGCGAAAACTAAGATTTTAATCTTGGCGCTACTATTACTGCATTTTTTTTATTGTTTTAAAAAGTTATTTTTCAAAATGTTGATAAACCCAGACATGTAAAACTGGATTTATACCTTTTCTAAGAGATATGACAACAAAATATGGATTTATACCTTTTCTAAGAGATATGACAACAAAATATGGATTTATACCTTTTCTGAGAGAAATGACAACAAAAATGTTAAGCATTAAAAAATGTCAATAGAATGCTGTTTTTAGAATTTTAATAAAACCCAAACATATGAAACTGCATTTATATCTTTTTCTAGAAAAATTATAGCAAAAATGTTAAATGTTTAAAAAATGTTACTTTTAGAATTTTAATAAAACCCAGACATATGAAACTGGATTTCTACCTTTTCCTAGAGAAATGACAACAAAAATGTTAAACTATTCATTTTTAGATTTATTCTCAAGAATAATTTTATGTTTACATGATTACAAATGGATGCGGGAGAAATAACTCCCACATTTTAAACTGTCACATGTGTGGTGCTATTGAACTTAGACAAGTGGAAATAATGACTTCCTCTAGCTGATGTCTTATATTTTTTACAGTTACCATCATGGTTTGAACCGATGCACACCGTTCATTTGCTATAATAATGATTATAATAGGGGAAATAGAGACGGAAAAATAAATCATTCTTCCGAGGTTTCCCATTATTTCATTCATGTCAGCGGTTCCTTTTTCTTCATAATTAATTTTCTCTGTTACCATTTTACGTTACACGGGGCCCAGTAAATTGCTCTCAACCTATTTTAGTGCGAGAAATGCCCGGAACGTACATGGATTTATACATGTATATAGATTTTTGAAAACAATATGAGATTATAGAAGAATTATACACTATTAGCGGTGTCAAAGTAAAAAGCCGACCTTTTAACGTCGTTTTTTTTGTTTTGTTTTTTTTTGTCGGGTAAGAAAATAAAAATGATCTTGCTTCCATGTTTTATATTCAACATTTAACTCTAGAAAATACCTTACTCCCCCTGCCGTTCTGTATATTCACAAGAGTCACCAATGTAGTATTGCTGCCATATCTCACTTCACAACCGTGGCAGAGTACACACGAGTTTAAGCGTCCTTGCAGGTGATGGGTTATTTTCCATCCTACAACCCCTTTTCCACTAGCTTTTTCTAGTTATTTTCATGCCAAAAGTTTAGATGAATTACATTCCTCACACCCAGCAGTCTCGATACAGCTAAGACCCGTCATGCCACGTACAGAAAATCAGCTCATCCACATTCGCTTCGTTTTCTATTAGTAAGCAGGAAGTTCCTATCAGACAGCTTCTTCCCAAGAACTGTAACACTTTGGAACAGACTCCCCAAAGAATGCTTCCCGACCAAGTCTTCAAGACTGATACATGCCTTACTCACTCCTCTCATGTCCTTACAAAAAACTCATTCAACCTCTACATTGGATGAAAAATAGTGTAAGAAATACTTGCAATTTACATTTCATGTACGTTGATTTCAGATGTCTCTTATATATGCTTTGATATCTAAGTTCTGTGATAGATAGATAGCTAGCTAGCTAGCTAGCTAGATAGATAGATAGATAGATAGATAGATAGATAGATGAACAGTCTGAAAGGGATACATACATACCTATATGAAGAGGCGGCAAGAGATAGATAGATAGATAGATAGATAGATAGATAGATAGATAGATAGATACGAACAGACTGATATAGATAGATAGATAGATAGATAGATAGATAGATAGATAGATAGATAGATAGAACAGATGAGAATAGATAGATAGATAGATAGATAGATAGATAGATAGATAGATAGATAGATAGATACGAACAGACTGAGATAGATAGATAGATAGATGAACTGGCTGAAAATGATAGATAGATTGATACATCCATACATACAAACATACATACATGCATACATACATTCATGCACACACACATATATACATACATAGATGAAGCGGCTTCAAGAGATAGAGTAATAGATACATACATATATAGATGAAGAGACGGCAAGCGATAGCTAGCTAGCTAGCTAGCTAGCTAGCTAGATAGATAGATAGATAGATAGATAGATAGATAGATAGATATTATCATTGGAGTTTAATTAAATTAATACAAATAATGATGCAATAATGCTCATCAACTTATAATACGCAAATATGTTTTGAAATGGGAATTTCAAAAATAACATTTGTTAACCTAATTGATATTTATTTTCCTCCACTAAGTATTTAAATATGGATTACAAGTAGTTTATATCCAGTAGTTTCACGTATAAGATGAAGTATTTAAGCAGGAAATATTTGGCAAGACAGAGGAAATTATAGGCCGAAAGCTTATATTAAATACAACAAAAATAAAGATAACCCGATTAATATGTAGAATAATGAAAACAATTTATTTCAGTCTACGAAAAGAAACAATAGTTTTCCGAATTTAAGATAGGAATCATCCAGCATTTTCAATAGTTTGCTAATTTTATTTTGGTTTCCTTCCAAGACCCGGGTTCACTTTGACCCGATCAATAAATGCCCTTAACTATCGTAATTCTTAACGATCTGTCTACTTTGGCGAAGGTAAGGCGTAAGTGACAAGTCAAGAAATTCCAATCAAAAAGCTCATTACGAAAGAAGAAAAAAAAAAGGGCCAATGTTGGTTTTGGTCTTGCTTTACCAACTCCGGCCAGAGATCTAAAGAAAGAGATAAAGATGACCTTCGGCCAGTCAGTCACACAGATGTGCGGACATTAATGGCCGAAAAAGAAGAGAAAGGAAATATTACGCGCATCGTTTCCTTATTTAAGCTGAATGTGAATTTGGCAGGATTAAATTATAATCAATCTTTTTATTTGATAATGGGTATTAAGGGACCCTGTTCCTTTCTTTGGCCGACCGGATGCCTTACAGTGACCGGTGACCACAAAGGAAAAGGGAACAGGAAAAATGGACGGAAGTACGTTAGTCGGGGACAGGGTAACTAGGCCATTAGTTATTTTGATAAATGCCTTAACAGCAATCAATCACCTTTCAGGATATTATCACTCTCTCTCTCCCTCTTTCTCTCTCTCTTTCTCTCTCTCTTTCTCCCCCTCTCCTTCTCTCTTTCTCTCTCTCACTCTCTCTCTCTCCCTCTTTCTCTCTCTCCCCCTCTCCTTCTCTCTTTCTCTCTCTCACTCTCTCTCTCCCTCTTTCTCTCTCTTTCTCCCCCTCTCCTTCTCTCTTTCTCTCTCTCTCTCTTGTTGTCTACTTGTCTATATTTCATTCTCACATGCTACTAATTCCTTATACACTCTTATACATTCTTATTCTCCCTCTTTACTCTTTTCTTTCTTGTGATATCTCCCTTTCACTCCCTCTCTCTCTCCCTCTATCTCTCTATCTCTCTCTCTCTCATTGTGTAGATCTCTATATTTAATTCCCCTTTCCAATCTCACTCTCCCTCTTACTTTCTTTCATGCAGGCAGCTGGCTCTTAAATTGCTCTGTCTTCTTTCTTGCTCTCTCTGTCTCTATGTCTATCTCTCTCTCTATCTCTATCTATCTATCTATATATATATATATATATATATATATATGTGTGTGTCTGCGTGTGTGTGTGTGTGTACTGGCAGCATATTTTCATTCAAGTATATTTGGTTAAATAATTTAGACATATTACGGTGATAATGCATGACCCATCCATAGATATGCAACCCCTGAGGATGGTCTCAGGTAAGATTGAAAGTACTTGGGAAAATAAGAACTATTTGAAGGAAAATTTTGGAAATTTTTTAATCAATTTTCTACAGGCACTAAGAAATTGGAGTTGAAATGATTAAAACTAAAATAAATACACATAATACGTCTAAACTATTTAACCAAACATGCTTTAATTAAAATAAGGTACTTCAACATATATATATATATATATATATATATATATATATATATATATATATAAACCAGACTTCCTAAATTACAAATCCCAAAATTTTTTTATATATATATATATATATATATATATATATATATATATATATATATATATATATATATAAAAAAGGCTTAAACACTAATATTCCATGGTCATAATTTATTCCATTGGAATCGTAAATACGATCCAATTCATCTGACCTACAAATTCAAAAAGAAAACAGAAAAAACAACTCCGGAAATAAAAACAGAATTTAGAGAGAGTGTAAGTATGAGGTTGTGGGACGAATGTTAGAGCTAAAGAGAGGGGTAACAGACTAGAGAAGGGGGGGAGATTAAACCTTAACAGAGAGAATTTTAGAGAGGTGGGTGGAACGGGTTTAAGTAAGAGAAAAATGAATGTTGTCGGATGTCTAATATATATATATATATATATATATATATATATATATATATATATATATATATATATATATATCCCAATTACTATCTATCTCAGTCCGCGGATATCTGTTTATCTCAGTCCATTAATATCTATCTATCTATCTATCTATATATCTATCTCAGTCCGTTCGTATCTATTTATTTATCTATCTATCTGCACAACCGTTTTGGAAAAATGGATTAAGAAAGAGATTTTATGAATTCCAGCCGACAGAGACGGTGGGTTTTTGGTCAAGGAATACCGAAATCGTGGCTATAATAAATTTGTTTCCGCTTACCAAAATATATTCAAATAAATTTAGAATAGCAAAATCAATTACTGCTTTGAATCTAGTTCAAATAAAATTGCTTGCAAAAAGTTAATTATTCTTAATTTTTTCTTTGTAATCAATTTGTCTGAACACCAAAATTATTAAAAAATAATAATAATCTATCTATCTATATATATATATATATATATATATATATATATATAATAAAAAGGCTTAAACATTAATATTCCATGGTCATAATTTATTCCATTGGAATCGTAAATACGATGCAATTCATCAGACCTACAAATTCAAAAAGAAAACAGAAAAAAAACAACTCCGGAAATAAAAACAGAATTTAGAGAGAGTGTAAGTATGAGGAGGAGGGAGATTAAACCTTAACAGAGAGAATTTTAGGAGATATGAGAGGAGGAATTTAAATAAGAGAAAAGAATGAATGTTGACGGATGTCTAATGCATAAAGATACATATATATATAAGACAAAGTGGAAAAAATTTTCTGGTAACATGTTTCCACCTGCAGGACTTCGTCGGACTAAATTTATTATGTTGGTGAGACTGCAGATGCGCACGAACGATGCTGGGAATTTTTAATTTAATTTCTTTCTTTTTTTAATCTAGCCGATTTAATTTAGATTTTTTTTTCTTTTTCATTCCATCTCTTTTGCTATAAGATATTGCACACTGTGATAATAGAAGTTCTCCCAAGAACTTTGAAATGTTGTAATAACCAGGGCGCAAGTTTACTATAGATGGTCATGCGCTCTCTATTTTCGTCGAAGTAAATTGTTTTCACCTTTCATCAGAGTAACATTTTTCATGCCAAAATTGTGGCTAGTCTCGTTACGATGGACAACCGACGCATTTGATGGCTTGTTTTGTAAATTTGTCTATTTCGTGTTCATATAATCTTTTATTTAGATTCCTTGAGGTTTCGCCCATGTATGTTTTGTGAGACTTATTACACGCGATTGAGTAAATTGGAAATTCGTGACAAGAAAAATTTTTCCACTATGTCATTAAATTTTTCCCCAATAATATTCTAGATATAAAAAACTATATCTCATATATATATATACGCATGTATATACTAGTAATAATCTTCTAAGTATAAGAAATTATATTGGTCCGGAAAACTTTTGGTGTCTTGATTTGCAAATAATCAAACAAATACCACAGGGAAAAAAAGGTATAAAAAAAGAAAGAACAAAGAACATGTACGTTAGCCGAAAATAATCGTCTAGCATCCAAGTCCAAAGTCCAAAGAAAAAACACCGATACGAGTAAGCCAAATAACTAAATAAAATTCTCAATACGTTAAGTAGACCAGATCTAGTTAACCCTAGAGAGCCAGACAAACCTACCAAGGCTCTTTTAACTCGTTTAACTATATATATATATATATATATATATATATATATATAAGCGGATATTGATGTCAACACCTAGCAGCGAGAGTATGTTTCATGCTTAATCGCAATCTTCGGACCACATACACACACGCACGCACACACAGAGTTATATATATATATATATATATATATATATATATATATACAAAGAATAATCACACATAGAATTAATCAGAGTATTAATGCGATTATTGGCGACATCCATCGCTAGAAAACATAATATATGCATTAAAAATCCTGTTCATCCATAGTGCGAGTTTTGATCCTTGACGAAAAACTTGTTGTCTGTAGTTTTCAGTTTATTTGATGTTAAAATGCTAGTACTTACGGATAGTCTTCTATCCATCATCAGGCATGTGTTTTTTTTCCTTATAAAATCAAAACTTGAGACGATATACCTGTATGTCGACCGAAAGATGTTTTTGAATATCTGCTATTATTGACGGTTGTAAGATATCGGAACGTGCAAAGACGCAACACTAAGTTTTTTTTAAATTTTTTAAGTGAGAATTTTATTTAAATATTTCTTGTGATGTGAAATCCACGTATTCTATTTTTACAAGTGTATTCAGTTTTTATGTCATGAACTAAGTATATACTTCAATAATATAGTGTAATGTCTTAGTAGTAGTTTTTATAGGAATTTTTATGTACTGCGGATCGATAGTTTATAATAAACATAAAACATTAGGCATATGATTTACATACAAAAGAATAATCACACATCTGATTAATTCTATGTGTGATTATTCTTTATGTAAATCATATGCTGCCTAATGTTTTATGTTTATTATATATATATATATATATATATATATATATATATATATATATATATATATTCAAACAGGTTTGGTTAAATAATTTAGACATATGATGCCGATTAGTTTTCGTTGTGGTCCTTCCAAGTTCGCGGATTAGTTGCCTGAGAGTATGTATACGTGTTTCTCTAAATTCAAAACATTTCAACTGTTCATTTTTACTGGCTATGCAGCGTTCTAGATGTCAAAGTACACACATGTTTTTTAGGCGTTTATAATAAACAGTATTAACTACATTTACCAGCCTGAACATTCAGTCCAGTATATATATATATATATATATATATATATATATATATATATATATATATATATATATATATATATATATAATATAACAATTCGAAGCGCATTATCTAAAAAATTGTAAAAATACGATAAAAAATGAAACAGATCTTGTCGGTTCTGTTTAATCAAACTTGCATATATATATATATATATATATATATATATATATATATATATATATATATAAAAAAATGTAAACATACGGGTACAGTGTAGGGTGTATAGATTAAGTCAACTTACTTTCTTTTCAGATTTAAACGTTACTATTACTAATAGACGCTTTTACAGATCACATTAAAGAAGTGTTATTGACAACAGCTGAGAAAGTTTTGGGTGAACGGCGAAGGAAAATCCAACCGTGGCTCACGAACGAAATCTTGTATTTGTGTGACAAGAGGAGAGTACTGTGGGGGGGGGGAATGAAGCTCTAAAGTGGCGAGGTCTATGCCCATTATCAGGACGTGAGGAGAAAAATTCGGGTAGCTGAAGAGGAGTGGATACAAAATAAGTGAAAAGCCATTGAGAAGGATACGCTTACTGACAATAAGAGATCGGCCTACAATACTATCAAATCCCCGGCTAAGACCAGCCAACCGAGAACAACATTCATAGAGGATGAGAATAGTAAATTGTTGACCAACATTAAGGGGGACTTCCACAGATGGACTGAATACTGTGAAGGTTTATACAATTACAAGCTTCATCCAGATGTTACCATATCGCTAATTGACCAGCACTCGACAGAAGACAATGAGTCCAGTCCGTCAATACTGACAGAGGAGGTTGAGTTGGAAGTCAAGAGCTTGAAACCTGGCAAGTCACCCAGAATGAATAATATTCCCTCTGAGCTGATAAAGCATGGGTAAGCGGCAAAGGTAAATCCATCCATGGGTCACTAACAAAATCTTGTATTTGCGTGACAAGAGGAGAGAACTGAAGGTAATCAAGCACTGAAGTCTATGCCCAGTATCAGTGCACAGTGATGTGAGGAGAAAAATGTGGGCAGCTAAAGAGGAGTGGATACAAAATAAGTGCAAAACCATTGAGAAGGATACGCTTAGTGGCAATAAGAGACAGGCCTACAATACTCTCAAATCCCCCCATTAAGGCCAGCCAACCAAGAACAACATTCATAGAGGATGAGAATGGTAAAATGTTGATGGACATTCCACAGATGGACACAATACTGTGATGGCTTATACAGCTTTACCCAGACGTCTCCATATTGCAAACTTACCATCACTCCACAGAAGAATACTTTGACTAGTCCATCAATACTGGAAACGGAGGTTGAGTTGGCAATAAACAGCTTAAAACATGGCAAGTCACCCTGAGTGGATAATATTCCCTCTGAGCTGATAAAACATGGCGGTGAAGGAACCACCAAAGCAAGAACAATGCCAGAAGATTTAGGAACAAAAAGTGGCCTAACGCGTGGACTCATCGGTAATAGCTCTCCAAAAGAAAGGAAGCCTTGGGCAATGTCAAAATTATAGGACAATAAGCATGATCACTCATCGTGGTAAAAAAAATGCTCCATGTCATTTTGAATCGTTTGAAATTCAAGGCTGAAGAACTGCTATCAGAGCAACAGGCAGATTTTAGAGCTGTACGAAGTATAATAAAACAGGTCCTCAATTGTAGGATCATCATAAAGAAACACCTGCAACACAAGAAGGGCGAGACTGCAGATGCGCACGAACGATTTGATCGTGTATGGCATGACGGCCTTAGGGAATTCAATGTAGATCATAGAATTATCAAAGTCATCCAGGCCCTATATAAAGAGACCGACAGAACAGTTCTTCTGGGAAAACTAATCGGGGGATTCTTCCGGACAACTGTCGGTTCGAAAGGGGTGCGTACTTTCACCTACATTGTTCAAGAAAGAATTATGCAACAAACCCTGAAAAACGATGATTCTTGTTGAAATAGCAGGAGAATATGGAATTAAGGTCAGCTCTGAGAAATCCAAAGTAATGGTGAATAGCACAAACAGTAATACTTAAGTCAACATGTAAGGGAATTCACTTGATAAAGTGTGTAGTTTTAGATACTTGGGAGCAATCCTGTCTAAAGATGGTACCTGCAATTCGGAAATCTGCATACGGATTGCCGAAGCCGGGGCCAAATTGACAAGAATATGGAGGAGCAAAATCAGTTTTCAAACGAGGTACAGACTGTACAAATTGCTGGTAGTTTCTATTCTCCTATATGGATGTGAAACGTGGACACTGTTGATAGAAACAGAGAGAAAGATCCAAACCTTTGAGGACAAATGCATGAGAAAACTGCTTGGCACCTTCTATTGGGAACATAAAACCAATTCGTTTCTGTGGAAAAGGCTTGAAAGTTTTGTGGGCCACCAGAA